GGTTGCTGATGGCGCTGGTGCCCTGTGAACACTGGGTGGGAGCCACCGCTCTGCGGGTGCCAGAGGTGTTGCTGGGGTTGGAGGCTGTGACTATCCAAAGACAGCTGCCGTTACCAGCACCTCAACTAGAGTGATGGCTCCTGCTTCTGCTTCTGGCCTGTGTCTGTCCCTGCTCCTAGCCTGAAAACATCTTAGGAGATGCAGGGATGGTTGTTTGAATATTGAAACTTTCTTCTGAAGCTTCCCCTGCTAAAGGCTCTGTCTCCAGTACAGGCCTGGGTGGAAGAGGCGGCCATAGAGCACGCCTTAGAATGGGCATCTGGCATCTCTCTCTGCTCCGTGGTTACTGTGCAGTGAACATTTCTCCTCCGTATTCTTTCATCAGTGTTCTGCCTCACACAGGCCCAGAAACGATGGAGCCATCTGACCATGAAAGAACCAAAGTAAATCTTTTCCTCCTTTGAAGTTGTTACATCATCTATGTTATCATATCTGTGATTATCTAGCAGCCGGTGGTTTGGAAACTCCATATACACTGAAATACTAGCAAGCTCTTAGGAGGTCAGGAATAGTCAGACAACACAAGCCATGTGGGACAAGCTCGTGCCTGGGCACTTGCTTCCCGGAGGGCAGGGCTATTGGGCAACTGTGGAACTTTTAGGAATAGGGTTTAGCTGACAGGAAGATGTCATCTGAGCCAGGCCTTTGAAGGATATCCCCACACCTCATTCTAGTTATCTTCTGCTCTGCTTCCCGGCCTACCATGACACAAACAGTTTCTACCATGTTCCGCCGCCGTGGACCGAGCTGCTCCACCTACCTTCTCTTCCATAAGGGATTGAGCTCTGAAACCTTGAGTCCAAATAAACCTAGTCTAACTCAAGCTCTTCTGCAGGTCTGTGGGGACAGCAATGCAAGAGCAGCTAATACAGGAAACTGGTTCCAAGTGTGGGTTATGTAGCAACTAAACCTGATCATGTGGCCTTGGTCCTCTAGAACTAACAGGTTTGTATTGAAAAAAATTTAGAAATGCAGAATAGAAAAGCTATAGAGTGTTGGAACCAGAGCTTCATGTGTGCTCCTGGTGGAGTTTAGAAGATGCCGAAGTCACGAGAAATATCAACAGTGAAGGCCAGGCTCACAAGGCTTCAGATGGGAGCAAGGACTCTATTAAGAACTAAGCCAGTTGAGCCGTGGTGGCGCAAGCCTTTAATCCCAGCACTCAGAGGTAAAGGCAGGTGGATCTCTGTGAGTTTAAGGCCAGCCTGGTCTACAGAGTTAGTTCCACGATAGCTAGGACTGTTAAACCGAGAAACCCTATCTCAAAAAAAAAAAAAAAAAAAGAACTAGGCCAGAATCCATGAGAGGTATTTTATGACAAACATTTTGACTATATTTCTCCTGTGTCCTGAAGCTTCGAATGAAGTTGATTGATCTGGCTGGGGAGATTTTGAGGCAGCGCAGAACTCAGGTGTGGTTACTGTCAATTGCTTTAACCAGGACTCCAGTGAGAAGTGAGGCAAAAACAGCAGAAAGTTGTGGGAAATGTATAATTTTGTTCAGAAAAAGAATGTAAGCATGTTTAAAGGGGCAAAGGGGCTCTTGTTGCTAAGAAACTAAGCAGTTGTGACTGGGAGTAGAAAAGGTACTCGGAGGGCATTTCAGGAAATGATGAGATCTGATATAAAACTAAAAACTCACCAAAAGCCTTCTTTTAAACAATGAGTCCCAGGGGTTTTATCCACATGGGGCCAATCAAGCTGTTCTGGGTTCAATCACTACCTGGGCTGCAGCCACAGGCTCCAGGGTCCAGACAATTGCTTGAGCTGATGGCAGAACTTAGCAGCACACACACCATACTGGTTTTGTAGGTGTGCAGAGTGCCAGAGCTATGAAGTCATGCAAGTTTACACCAGGGATGCTTGGTGCAAAAGGAAGCTTGGGAACCAGGCGATAACCAGCTTGCCAAATCCCTGCAGGGGCCCTGGTTGGGTCATTCCTGACGTCTTGAGAGTAAAGTCTAAACTGCAATGTAATCCCCAGGATGCTGGAGACACCAGGAACATGGCATCTCCATGGAGGAAAACTGCAGGCCCAAATTGACAAGTTCAATTAGAGCATCTATTATAATCCCCAATCCTGCATCAAGGAATAAGCAGCCTGCTTAGCATAGACAGACAGGGGACCTTGGTGCAGGTAAGGAGGGTGCCAATGCCAGTGGGGAAGTCTGGTGCAAGGTCCAGCTCAAGTTTCAACCTGAGAGGTGATGGGGAAAAGCTCCCCCAGCTCCAAACCTACACCAAGCACCAAGTGACTGCCCCCCCCAGATGTGGAAGGCAGACCGGGCCTCGGGGGAGCAGGGGCTGCGACGTGAAGGCAGCTAGGCAACCCCCAGCAAGTTGAACTGAGAACTTACCCTGCACAAAATCGTGACGCTGAAAACGTCAGTTCATGAACTCTCCCGGATCCCACCCAAGTCCTCCATCTGCCTCGTGTGAGGCTGTGCCCTCCACCACTTCTACATGCCTCACCCCCTGCAGCGCTGCTTATGATAGAGCAGACCTCGAATTCATGCCTAGTGGAACTTCTTATTGCCCCAGGCAGGCAAGAAGCTTCCGGTGAACAGCTTCATCCCACATCCCGTGTGGTACCCAGGGCCTGCGCTGGAGAAGATGCTCAAAGAATGTTTGTTCAGTGAATGAGCGCATCCATGGCTGGACACCCACCAGTGAATCAGTGTTCGTACATGTCAAGCTAACACCTCAACGATGTTTTAAATATATTCCTTCATTAATGAAATGCAAATCAAACATACCACCTCATCACGTGTATTCGAAAGGCTATAAGCTAAACCTAATAAGTGTTGGTGAGCATGTGGAGAAGCTGAAGCCCTTATGTGCTACCAGTGGTAACTTAAAGGTGTTCAACATCATGGAAACGGGTTGGTGGTGTCTCAGGCAGAAAAACAGAAAATTACTTCATGACCCAACAATTCCACTCCTGTGTACAAACCTAAGCTAATTAAAAGCAAGGACCCTAATGAACCCACATATTCATGGCAGCTCCATTCACAAAGGCAAAGGCAGAAGCAATCAAATACCCATCATCAGATGAGCAACCTGTGATGTGTGCATACAGAGGAATATTAACTGCAGACTGAAAGGAAGTACTGGTGGATGTTATCCCCGATGAACTGAAAACATTCGAGGTAGGAAATACTCTAGACACAAGTTACAGAGTACAGGTTCTGGTAGTATGCAATGTCCTGAATAAGCAAGCCCTTAGAGACAGAAAGAAGACTTGTAGTTACTGGAGGCTTAGGGATGGAGGGAGGGGGAGCTTCATGGAAACTCTTTCTTTCTGAGGGCATAGAAATAGAAATACAAAACAATAGCATGTGTGAAAGCCAGAAACACTGTGTGTCCCTCAGTGGGGGAAGAACTGATTCAAATTGAAGCAGCTAAGCAGGTTGATGATGGCCATGTGACACAGCAAGGATGGAGATTTACATTCCACCCTCGATGAGGGACAGCATGGGAAAACCTCCCTGGTGATAACCCCTTGGGTTTGCAAAGGTGAAAAGACCAGCTGGTACCACTGCAGAAACCAACGCAGAAGTCAGCATCCAGTACCACTACAGATCAGTGTAGAAGTCAGCATCCAGTACCACTGCAGAGGACAGTGTAGAAGTCAGCATCCAGTACCACTGCAGAGGACAGTGTAGAAGTCAGCATCCAGTACCACTGCAGAGGACAGTGTAGAAGTCAGCATCCAGTACCACTGCAGATCAGTGTAGAAGTCAGCATCCAGTACCACTGCAGAGGACAGTGTAGAAGTCAGCACCCAGTACCACTGCAGAAGCCAGTGCAGAAGTCAGAATCCAGTACCACTGCAGATAAGTGTAGAAGTCAGCACCCAGTACCACTGCAGAAGCCAGTGCAGAAGTCAGTACCCAGTACCACTGCAGATCAGTGTAGAAGTCAGCACCCAGTACCACTGCAGAGGACAGTGTAGAAGTCAGCATCCAGGCTGAATCTGAAAAATACGAAGCACAGATGAGGAAGTTTCTGGTTTGCAGCAGGTGGTTTGTGCATCAGGGAGAAGATCAAAGTGCACTGAACAAACACCAAGCAGGACCAGGGATCCGGCAAAGGAGTCTGCTCCTGCCAAGGCTCCAGGATGCAAGATAAAGGACAAACAGCTTTGCGGATTCCTAGCTTTCTTGACCTTCCCCTTCACCTCCTACCTGCAAGGCCACAGACAAAAATCTTAGAATAGCCTTAATTGAACTTTAGCTGGAGGTTACAAAGAGGGCTGTTATATTCAGGTTTTAATTGCCTTCTTTGTTCACATTGTCATTAAATAATTGACTCCATTATTTGACTTAAACAAATATTAGCTTGGTTCTATTTACCAGACACTGCTAAGAGCTCTGGGGACTTAAAGATGGTGCCTTCGAGTTTCTATTGCTGTGACCCAGAGCAACGTGAGAAAGAAAGGGTTTATTTTGCTTCCCCTTCTACATGGCAGTCCATCTCTGAAGGAAGCCAGAGCAGGACCTCAAACAAGACGCGAACCTGGCCATGCAGAGGCCATGGCGGAGCATGGAAGAGTTCTGCTTCCTGACTTGCTGTCCAGCTTTTGTTCAGCCTCCTTTCTTAGCCCATTCAACCTGCCCAGAAGCGGCACTGCCCACAAAGGGTTGGGCCCTCCTGTAGTCTCTAATAATAAAATGCTCCATGGTTTGCCCCCAGGCCAGCCTTATGAGGTGTTTTCTCAGTTGAGGTACCTCTTCTCAATACCTCTAGCTTATGCCACATTAAAAACAAAACAAATCAAAACTAACCAGGTCAGATGGTTAATACATCTTACATAAAATCCATTTATTCAGCCATTTAACATATGGTTTTCCAAATACTTCCTCTGGGGAAGGTTCTAAATATTTGGTGCTGAGTTTACACCCGAAAACAAGATTCCTAAGTTTATAGAGTTGGCAGTGACATAGGTGTACCATTTAATGGCCTGGTTACACAACTACACAAACAAATAAATCTCAATGGGAACATACCCAACAACAGTTGCAGGCAGGGAATTATGTTTACAAAGAAGATATTTGCCTGGGAATGAGGGAAGGCTGGGGGAAAGAATACTGTTCAAAATTGGCTTGAAGAAGACAGAGAAGGAAGGAATCGGTGTTTCCAGTCACACGGGCTAGCCAGGAAAGCCAGGGGTGAACATGGGGAAGACAGAGGGCCAGATGTGTTCAGTGTATGCAATTGACTCGAGAGAGGCTAGAGACAAGCGGTAAATGTTGCAGGCTTTCTTTTGGGCCCGCAACCAGCCCCCCAAATTACGACACAGGGACTTTACTATTAGCTAAGAATGTTTGGCCTTAGCTTATGTTTGTCCCACTAGCTCTTATAACTTTGACATCCTCTACGTTTTGCCTCAGGGCTTTTTACCTTTCTTTCATTTGGTGTGCCCTGCTTTCCTGCTTCCTCTGTGTCTGGCTGCCTGGTAACTGCCTGGCTGGCAGGCCCAGGGCATCTCCCTCTCTTTAGCCCCCATTCTCTTTGTTCTCTCTAGCCTTAGATTCCTCCTCTCTCTGCCCACCAGCTCCACCTAGCCCTCTACTGCCTAGGTATTGGCTGTTCAGTATTTTATTAGACTGATCAGGTACCTTAGGCAGGCAAAGCCACGTGTCTTTACATTGTTGAACCAATGCAGCATAAACAAATGTAACACATCTTTACAATAGTCAAACAAATCCAGCATAAGCAAATATACCACGTCATTGCCTAGTTAAACAAATATTCCACAGCAGGTAAAGGCTCGCAGCAGCCAGATCATTCTGAGGACTGAGAAGAGCTTGAGGAAGTCAGGAGATCACATGTAAATTCACAAAGAGGTACCTCCTAAACTTTATCTTGGCAAACATCCTTGCTCTGTAAGAGTCTGTGGTTCAAAGGATTGGCTACTCCTCCAGACATGTGGCTACTGGCCTTTTCAGGGCTGAATGTGGCTAGATCATATTTAGGGATGAGCTGAAATGCCAGTATTAACTAGCAGTCAGACACTCTCAAATTAATTCCATCCATGTGAAGTATTTTATTGTGAAGACATCCCAATCTTGTTCCATCAGTCAACATCAACTCCAACCAGTTAGGGAGTGAAATCCCAGAAGCTGGTCTGATTGAACATTTGAGGAGAAAGGTGAATGACTGCCAGACACGCCCCTCCTCCATTTCTAGAGCCTTTCTCATGATGAACGCTGGAGAAGGTCAGGAGTTGCCGCCTCTGCATGGTTTTCTGATCCTGAGGCTCTTTTTCCGTGTCTCTTTATGGACTATAGTCTCCTTTTGTCTGGAGCCCTGTCTAGGTGTCCTCTCAGATCTTTCCTGAATGGAACTTCAGTTGGATCATCTACCCATCCTCCCTCTAGGACATAGCTGCCTCCAGTTTGGTTTCTTTGCTCTTTGCACCTGGACTTAGCGTAATGGAGGAGGGGGTACCTAGTTGCCCATTGAACGGCTTCTGGTCCTCATTTTCAGGACGAGAAGCTCCAACAAATCTAGTTGTTCACGCAGTAACCCTGAAAGCAGAAGACCTGGGATGGTGTCACAGAGGCAGAACCACTGCCCTCTCCAATCTGCAGTCTGAGGGAAATGAACTCCAAAGGGCCGCACAGTTGGAAAGAACCTCATACAGGTTGAGCCTTCGAAGCCCAGAGATGTGAACTCATGTTTTAGCTGTGCGGTTGTAGATCTGGCCAATGCAGAGGCTGGAGTTGAACTTGGTTGGCAAAGTCAATCTGTCTTCGCTTGCAAAATGGCTAACGGTGCCGTTACTTCTAACCTCTGTGGTCGGCATCAGGAGACTGAAACCATGACTGAGACTTGGATCTGTCAGTTCTGTAGCGCCTATGACCCTGTGATTGTATGGCCTTTTAATCGTCTTTAATCCATTTTACCGACTCAGTGGTGGTGACTACTCGGGCTGTGCTGTGTTCTGTAACGTTGAGAACTGGAGCTAGGATTACAATGTTATCTCAGCCCTGAGCCCAAGCAGGACTGCGCTGCCTGCCCCTCCTCTGAGTACGCCGGAGCCTAGGGTCAACTGGGCACTCTCCTCTCAGAAGAAATGTCTGACTCGTTCTGGCCTTAGGAGATTTCATTTGCATCTAGATGTCTGGGGCACCACTTGTCAGAGCACGAGAGAACATGAGGCAAGAAAACACCTGACTCGGTGTTACTACCAAGGTCAGCACTCCTCATGCCTCAGTAGTTCTGGGGCTGGCGGGAGGGTTTGGGTGTTTTGTTTTCATGGAAAAAAGTACCCTGACATGAAGAGAAGAGGCATCAAAGCCATGCAGAGGGACTGGCCACCTGAGCTAAATCTGTCAGAGCGGGTGCTGAAGCGATGGACAGAGGTCAGCTTGGTGGAGACAGAGCGCAGAGCAGGAGAAGCTGCAGTCTGGGTTTGGATGAAGGGACCAGACTGCTCATCAGCCGATCCCACCTTGTAGTTCAGTTTTTCTCTTGGGGTTTTCTAAGGTTTCTTCTAAAACTCCCTCGCCGTTAGGAAAAAATACTTTCCAGTATTCAGATGTAAAAGCAGTGAGCATCTTGGTTCTGTATTGGGAGCATTTTGTGGGCCCTGCTGCTGAGAAGTCCTCTCATACTGGCTAAGGTCACCAGTGAACCAGCCACAAAGACCTGTTCTTATCTGGTGTTTGCCTTGGAACCTGTAGGGCCGTTGGTAGAAAGGAAAACACTCAGGTGTAGCAAAGAGAAACAATAACTCTAATCACATAACCTGCTTTCTCCCTAATTGTCCCTTATCGTCGGGGAGCTGGGAGACTGAGAGCTATATAAACTGGACTCAGGAAGTCAATGGGTCATAGAAATCGTATCATGCATGCTGTTGCATAAAGCCCGAGAGACATCATGAAAGGCCTCGTGAGTACATTTTAATTCTGAATGTGTCGAAACAGCCAAGGAGGTCCTTTTTCTCCCTTCCCCGAGAACTCTTCCAATCCCAGCTATGATTTGGCGTGGAATCTTCCACTGGTGATTGTCTGTTTGCAGAATTTGAGTGAACGTTGTTTTCTGCCAGAATCAATAGCTAACTTCTTTAAAGCCCAGACTCGTTGGGGGTTAGAGTCCTGTCTTCAGGGGTGTTTCTTGGTTACAAATCGCCGGTGGGAAAATGACAGATGTACGTGACATCAGCTGGAATAGTGTGTTTTTGTCCCTTTGGATTTTTTTGAGACTAGTCCTCATTCTGTAGTCCAGGCTACCATGCACTCCTTGAGACTAGCCTCCAACTTTCAAAATCCTTCATCTTAGCCTCCCAGGTGCTGCCATTAATGGCGGGCATGACCATGTCAGCTTTCAATCGTCTAGTAAAGCTGTCCTGCCCTCTGCAGCTCCCGGGTCTGGCGGCAGAGCTCATTGCACTGTGGCAATAGTGATGTTGTAGAACAGCTGTTTCCTTTGCCTTTGAGGTGTAGCTTGCCCTTTATTAGTGAAACTGAATGCAGACTTTTCAGGGGTGTGCAGAGAAAGGAAGACTTTCTTATCTTCTTATCAGTTCCACTCGATACGATGGGTGCACTTGAGCTGGGTGAGCCTCAAGTCCATGATAGATTATGGCTACCTTATCTTAGTTCCCCAATTCCTTCATTAATGTCTGATACAGAGAAGTCCCTCCATCAGCAGGGCGTGGCACACAGAGGAGCAACTGAAATATTTTAAGGCCCCGTTACATTCTAACATAACAATAGTGTGGAAATGGTGGTGAGTAGCTTTTCTTCTTAGACAAAGTAAAAGAATCTGGAGGAAAGGAAACCTGGAGAGAATTAGACTCCAGAGGGGTTGAGGATGGGCAGGGACGGAGCAGAGCCAACTGTGAGCTTTAGGGTTTGGGTGAAGAGCCGGAGCAGAGGGTGCGCCCAGATGCAGAAGAAGAGAGGATGGTGCAAAGAGGAAGAGTGGGAGCCTGAGCTATTGTGGCCCAGGCTGGCCCTGCCTTTTGAGCCAATCTATTCTAGCAGTTGACGGTGGAAGCCACACAGGATGTATCCTCAAGTGGCTGACGCAGCTTTGCTTCCTGAGCAGTGGGCACACCCTGTCTGAGGACAGTAGACTATGGTCTCGTGACACACTCGGGGGCCCCATAGAGATGAGTGAAGGCCGGAGTTATAGATCCTCATTGGAAGGATCTGTCCTGTAAGGCAGAGTTTGGAGTCTAAGCTCACCTGAGGCTAAGGACAAGTAGCATTGACCTTTGTTCCATTTCAGACTGCACCTTCCTTTCTTGTGACCATCTTCCTAGCCCCATCTCTGGCCCTGGTGGTGAGTATGCTGGATAGGGCCCAGTCTGCCTACCCCTCTGTTAGCACTGGCATTTCAAAGCTAACGACCAAGGGTGGCATTCCCATCCTTTCTCGTGGATGCCCTTTAACCCTGCCAGGGATAGCCAGGTAGACACTTGGAGCCAGTGACTTTTCTCACTCTTCATCGGTCTTTTCTAGAACACCAGTGTCAGTCATTCTCCGGATGGCTCTGTGGGGACCCAGACCATCCATGTCGATGCCCTCCGAGGTCTGGTCACCATCCAAGACAACAATGTTCTGAGTGAATGGAATGGAATCGTGGACTACAAGAATGTAAGATGCCAAACATGCTTATTGCAGGAACTCTCAAGTGGTCCAAGCAGACCAGACTGCTTTTCCATCTTCGTTGTCCTCCTCTGAGACTGGGGTGTGCTACCAAAGCTGCTTTGTCTTAGCTCTGTATTGTGATGCTGACTTCTAAGGGATTGGTGCTATGAACTAGCATCTCTTTCGGTAGTAGGAGCAATTAGAACGGCACATGATCAGGAGGAGAAACCTGCTGCTTTGGCAGGACTCTAATAAAATGTTCTGTGACCATAGAGATATTTTTATGCCTGCCATGCCTCAGTGTTCATATCAGCAGAGCAGCTGCAACAGCAGCCTCTCCCACCTAGTGGGACTTGGAAGGATGGAATGAAGTCAACACCCACACTTTAACCCTGCCCTCTGCTCCCCAGGCCCTCCTCAGCCAGCTGTCACCTTCTTGTCATATTCTCTTCCTTGAATATCTTCTCTCTTTTCTCCTCCCCACTTTTAAATCCTCAAGGAGATCCCCTGAATCCTCCCAGAAGGCTCCCAGGCTACAGATGGATGTTGTTAAAACCCAAGTAAAAATTTCCTCACACAACATTCTACCGTGGGCCGCTAGGTGGGCGAGGAAGACGGAACTTTTGCTAGAGGCTTAGCTTCTTGCAGTTGAGCCTGGGGTAGAAATGGCATCTCTTATCTAAACCAGGAAAGAAAATTCGTAGGCCACAAGAAAGGGGCATCCAAGATAGACCTAGCTCTAGAATTCAAATCACAGTCATGATGCAGGCCTTCTGACTGCCCTGGGTTTTCAGAGAGCCTGATCCAGTTTACACAACATTCTCCCAGGACTCTAGTAGGTCTCTCAGCTCTCCCCTCAACTTCATGGCAACTCCAGGGAAGAAAGGCCAGTCCTCCTGCTTTACAGATAGAGAAACTGAGGCTCAGAAAGGCCATGGAGGATCCCAAGAGCCATTGAAAAGCCAGCCAGGTCCTTAAGATCACCTGTATTGTTGTAGTACCATCTTGCACAGTCAGGCACACACATTCTTTTTTTTTTTTTTTGGTTTTTGAGACAGGGTTTCTCTGTGGTTTTGGAGCCTGTTTTGGAACTAGCTCTTGTAGACCAGGCTGGTCTCGAACTCACAGAGATCCACCTGCCTCTGCCTCCCAAGTGCTGGGATTAAAGGCGTGAGCCACCACCACCTGGCAGGGCACACATCCTTATATTGGCATCAGAACACCCTGGGAGAGAAAGCCTTCACCATCAGGAGCAGAGGAGATGGCAGCGCTGGGCCTAGGGAGCGGCAGGGCTCAGTACCACACCGCTCCTGATGCTGCTGTTTGCCCTGGCTTCCGGCAGCACTGCTGAGATGTTCTGTACTGCAGTCAGACTAGGGTCTGGACGCCTGAGGGGAGCGGGTGCGTTAGAACTGGGACTGACTGAATGCCATGTTTCTGCTGTTGCTTTAAGGCCCTCCTGGCAGCTAAGCTGTTTAGTAAGATGGCCTGTGTCCTGGCCAAGATGGACCTGACAGTCTTCCCAAGTTTGGATGATATCACCCAGGCCCTGGGCACACAGGTGAGTCCAGTTCTCTCTGATAGACATCGACTTTGGGGTTTTCCAACTTACAGCCAGTCTCCTGGACAGTGCTCACTCACGGGAGCTTCCTCCGTACCTATTTTTCATGCCATGAAATCACGCCATGGGCAAAGAACTCGAGGACATCAGCCACCCTCTCAAGGCAAGTCACAGTTGAATCAGTGACCTCATTTAGATGCATTCCCAGTGGGCTCGAGCTGTGCTAGAGAAGACGAGTGGTTGGATGCAAGCATTGCAGCGATTTCATGTCCCCTGCCTCCTCTCCTCCCAGTCTTTCCTGACCCACCACACACACGCACACACACTCATGCACACACACGTACACACTCATGCACGCACATGTACACACTCATGCATGCACACTCATGCACACACATACACACGTGCACACTCACATGCACACACATGTAAACACATATGCACACACATGCACATGCACACACAAATGCACGAACATGCCCATACACACCATTATCATTGCCGTCACCGACATCTTTAATTGCAGTCAAGCCCAAGAGTGCTGAAATTCTTGCCTGCCCTCTCCAACGGGACAGGAACTGTTGTTAACAGGAATAAATTAAAACCCAGGAAGAAATCCTTGGCTACTCATGGACTCTGCTCAAACTTTGCTTAAATATCAGCACATTTGAACAGTACTCAGGACTGGGGCTGTGGTACAAACTCTGGGAAAGAAATAAAAATGTGTTAGAGTAACGCTATTTTAAAAAGAAGTTGAGGTGGAGAAACAGCTCAAAGGTTATGAGTTCTTGCTGCTCTTGCAGAGAAACCCGGTTTGGTTTCTAGCCCCCACAAGGTGACTCACACCAGACTGTAACTTTAATTAAACACTCAGACATATAAAATTAGAATACATAAATCTATAAAAGAGGAGTTGAAAATGTCCCATTCATCTAAATTGACAAAATATAAATTCAACAAGCTACTCTATTGTTTTGGTTCAGAAAGCGTCTAAAGCTGATAGGAAATGCAGCTGGGACACGTACGGATTTTTACCAGAGTCACTTTCGCCCTCTTGTGGCTTGATAAAATATTGCATCTAAAGGAAAACAATTCGGGGTTCTCAGTGGGCCTGAATCGCCCCAGGCACCTTCACAACTTGCCTGTGAGTTTCTTCTTTGATATGCCATGCCTGAGATGCCCCCATCTTCCAGGATTCCGGTCACTACCCACCCACCCGCGGACTGACCTACACGGTTTTACCCAGCCGAGTCAAAAACTTGGCCCAGTACGGAGTGCCTGTCCAGGACCTGTGTAGAGCAGTCCCCGCCTACTTTGTCCAGCAGCAAAAAGAAGGTGTGTTCAGAAACCGAAAGAAGGCGGCATGTGAATCAAAAGATGTAGGAGGAGTTTCAGTACCTACCAGCCAGCTGTAATGACAGCTGATCCATTGCTTCCGTGGCCTGGGATGTACTCGGGGCTTGTGGGGAAGGGAAACAGCCAGTCATCTCCTCAGGGATCCGCTGGCCTAAGGTCATCCTGCCCCAATTCAAGCTTTGCCACGCCCACTGTAGGGGAAGGCCTGCAGCTTTGGAGTCCTTAGTCCTACTCTTTCTCAAGGCATGTGGAGCCTAACAGTTATTATAGACCACACTGGAAATAGCACAGCTGATGGCTGGAGTGTGAGGCAGATCAGTGACCCGAAGAGCCTAGCTAGCAGGGGTAAGACTCCAAGATCTGCCTATGAGTCCAGATTCAGTCAGCAACATAGCTGTTGCCACTCTCTTATCCACAAGTCAGAGTTCTTCAGAACAGACGGTCCAGGAGAGAAACAGGACATGTCAGGCTAGGGGATTAAATGCACAATAAAGGAAGAGTAATAAAGAAAGATGGTTACTGCAGAGGCTGGAGAAAGGGGCCGGGGTGGGCCTGCACTGACCTGAGGGTCCATAACGCAGGTGCCTGGTGTAAGGATGACTCTGGCCTTCTCTCTAAAGTGTGGTTCCCTTCTCTTGAAGGTTCCGCCCTGGACATGGACCCAGAATCCTGTTCTGAGCTCCAGTTTCTCTCCTTCATGGGACTGTCCATCTGTGGTGAGATCCCTGGGCTCTGAACCCTACATCAGCCATGTGAAGACTGGACTTGCCTGCTCCAGCCTCTGCCTGTGGGAAGCAGCCCTTTCCAGTCCTCTACCTTCTGGCTTTCCATTCAGCACTAGCCCTGTAATGTGGGGAGGAGGGAGGTGCAACTTCTACCTTCTAGGAAAAAATAATAAAGTTTTCATGTCACTGGCTAGCAGACAGATTCCCTCAACTCTGTAGGCCCCCTCTTCCTCTGCAGGCCCCCTCTTCCCCTGCAGGCTCCCTCATCCCCTGAAGGCCCCCTCTTCCCCTGCAGACCCCCTCACCCCCTGCAGGCTCCCTCATCCCCTCTGCACTGCCAACCACGTGCAGTCCAGCGCATCCTACAGCTTGGAGGTGGCTCCCCCAAAACCTTTCATCTCTGAGTCTCTTTAGACTATCCCTTGAGAAATTTTGACAATAAATGAACAAACCTCCAATAGCACCCAGTCTGGATGGTCAGACCTGAGGTTGCGCTTGTCTCCTGAAAACTGGGACTGAGGCTACTGGGCTGTCTCTTTCTTGTGACAGTGACAACCCATAGAGTGATCTGGAGCCTCCCTCTAGAACTCTAAGCCAGGAGCGGGACCCTTAGATATCTGTCCCCATTGCAAAGGCATAAGGATCCAGATACTCAGCCCTCAGTCTTGAACTTGCAGTCTCCGTCATTAGCCCCTCCTCCCACGTGATGTCGCCTAATTCTCCGCATCACTCCTGTTCCTCGGAACCTTGGGGACAAGGTTTCCAAGATCCTTCTAGAGTAGGGTCCATATCACAAAGCAGACCTCTGTTGTCCCCAGCAAGGGACTCTGCCCCCAGATGCCTATGGCGACAGTCTCCTTAGCTCTGTGGAAAGACCAGAGCCTGAGGCCTCAGGTTCTGACTCCAATATAAGCTACTCAGGACTGTTGTGGGTGACAGCAACGGCAGCTGGTTTCCTGAGCCTGTTGCAGGCCGATGGTTTCCTTTTCATTCAGCTGAATGATAAATGCTGAAAATAGATTAAGATTTGTATTGAGGTGTAAGGCGAAGGACAGACCTCATTTTCCTGACCTGGCCTCCCTGAGATTGTGACCTCATGACCTCAACATGGCAGAGACGGTTCTGGATATCAGTATTACATCCCCGTTAGGAAGGACAGAAGGAAAAAGCACAGAACAGAATCCCAGCCACCTGAATCTATCTTTCTTTATCTGGAAAGAATATGGTTTCTAGAAACCTCACTTAGCAGACTTCTGCCTACATTTATTGGTCAGAGTCTTGGTCACCTGACCACTCTAGGCCAATCTGCTTCTTGCTTTCTTAAGAGAAAATACGATCTTGTTTTCTTAGGAGAAACAGGACTGGCTTTCTCCACAGGGGCACTGTTAACATTCTGAGCTAGAAATCCTTCACTGTGGCCATACTGTGCAGCTGAGTGTTGAGCACCGTCTGTCCTTGCTGGAGGCCAGAAGAACCCTTTCTGGCTGTGACAATAATGGTGGCTCATCTCCTGGGGACAGGAGAGAAGTCACTTAAAGTTGATAACTAACTTGACAGATGACGGTTAGTTCCCTACAATTGAAGGAATCTGCAGACAGAATGTTTAGCCTCTACTCACATAGCCTGGTTATGCTAACTGGAAAGAAAGGGCTGGGGAAAGCCAGGTACTGGCAGTGAGCTTGTTTTGAAGAGGAATAGTAGACAGCTGTAACATGAAGCGCCAGGCCTGCTTGTTGTTGGAGATTTTTGTCCCACCCGGTACCCCACAACTGTTTAGCCCCAAAGAAAATCACACATAGGTCTCCATAAATTATAAGCTGATTGGCCCATTAGCTCTAGCCTCTCATTGGCTAACTCTCACATCTTGATTAACCCATTTTTTTTTTTTTTGATCTATGTTAGCCATGTGGCTCAGTACCTTTTTTTAGTGGTGCAGATCACATCCTGCTGCTTCAGTGGTCTGGGCAGGAGTGGGAGGAATCAACTTCCTCCTTCCCAGAATTCTCCTGTTCTCATTACATCATTTCTACTTGCTGCCTGGTTTTTTCACCTATATTTCCTGTCTGGCTGTGGTCGGCAGCTGATAAGTGACCCTTTTTCTTTCTCTTGGTTTTCTCTGCAAGGATCACCTTAGAGGTCATTTTTTCATATTTTGTTAGGTGCATAGCTGTAACGGTAGGAAAGCTGGACTGGTCTAAGTTATTTTTCCATTGTTAGAAATATTGACTTTTAGCTTGTTATGTTTGCCCAAATAACGCTGAATTCGTTCATCAGGCCTAACAGGCAATCCTGCAATGGAATATTGGGGTCTACATCTTCTAATGCCAGCGTCTAAGATGACTAGAGTGCATTTCATCCCCTTAGATGAGCAAACGAGTGTGTAGGCCGTGGTGCTGGGAGGAGGAGCTCGTAGGAAGTGACAGTCCCATCCGCGCTCCACCTGACCTGGGGCCTCTTCCAGCTTTCGACACCATTGGTGCGGGCTCCATCCTCTTTGCTCAGGGGCCAAGGAGGGCTTGAGTGCTCCGGAGTTTAAAATATCTACTTTCCTTAACCCTTAGAAGGGGCTAACCATGAGGAACTGTAGCAGGACCCAGACTTCTTAGGAAAGATGGGGATTTAGAAACAGCAAAGTGAGGAAGAAGACCCGTGGCTCTGCTTTCAAAGTGAGACGATTGCAATTAAAGCAAGAGAAAGTGTATGCGCCAACAAACCTCCAAGGAGGTCGGGAATGTTACCACTCTCCCTGCCTCCAGCTGCCCATCCTGTCCATGAGAGCCAGCCAGAAGCTTTAGAGCCAAAACCAACTCATAGCCAGAATAAAGGGAAGCTCTGTCTCACTGGCGATGAAACAGAAAAGGGATCCTGTGGTGGGTGGGCCATGGTGTTGGTTCTCTCTTCTTATGCAGAAAAGCCATGAAGATGCCGAGGCTGCCGCGCAGGAAGAACACAGCTGAGAGGCAGGAAAATAATCTAGTCCCTATCAGGCACCCAACTCCAGGACACTCCTCCTCTTCAGTCACTAGCTACGTAAGACTCAGCTTACCCTCAACTGCAACAACTCTGGTTTGGGTCCCATCCCTCGCAAACACCCGAAACACTCTGACCCTTGCTTGGCAGTCAGTAATACTCAATACTACTGTCATCAAACTCTTTATAGAAATGCCCTGTTTCCCCACCAGGAAAACAGCATCCTTGAGCTTGCTCAAGGGATACGTAGCTTGCGCTTCTTATCCCATCATCCCTGGTGCCCAGTACACAGAAGGCACTTCTGATTTATCTGTCCATGGGCCGTTGTGAAACAAGGAAGACACAGTGATAGAGAGAGATTCCTGTCGAAGTCTCTCCTGGTTCTGAGCTTGCATCCAGCTGCCCAGACTCCATGAGACCACCTTGAGATCACAGGTGGGCAGCTGGGCTGCAGGCAGCTGCAGAGGGAGATGGAGGCTCATACCCTACTGGTAGACCGCGCATGGCTCAACCCCAGCATCTGGACATTTTCACACATTGTATACCTTATTTAAAGGCCTTCTATATATTAAGGTCAACATTGCTTGGTTCCCCACTGTGTCCGTGAAAGGAACAAACACACAGATGTCTGTAAATATATCATTTATATGTCATTATTGAATCTCATAAGCAGATGGAATGCTGGGAAGAATCTAGTTTGGCTTCTGAGTGGAAATCAAAGGTGTATTTCTTTGGAAAGATGAAGTCAACTGAGGGACCATCTTAGACGTGAGTTCCCGCGCAGAAGGAGAAGCCCAGGAGCCCCAGAAGGCCGACCTTTGCACAGGCTCCAGTGGCTACCTCTTCTGAAAATGGGAAAATGTAAATAAATGGCATTTAAAATGTGCTTCAATACAGCAAGTCAATATTTTCAAGGGGTCCTGATGGGTAGGGCCTTGTAATTTCATAGCGTCAAGATTTAGCAGTAGATATCTATATTACTACTACTACTACTAATGATAATAAAAATAATAAATTAACTTACATAAGACCAACAAGTCTACTGGATCTCGGTGGGCGCCGTGTGGCTCCGCACTGGCAGCATGCCCTCCTGCCTCTCTGACACCTATGAACGCTGTCTTTCTGAGCATAACACACAGCAAATGCTAACACCGTCTTCTTCACCTCCCACTACTCTGACAAATGTCTTTTGTTGAGTTCATTATCCATTGCTTTGGCCACTTTGCCACAGTCAGTGCAAAATTCAGGTATGATCACAGGGCCCTGTGACACCCGGCTGCTGTCCCCTGCCTGCCCGCTCACTCTGTCTTCGCTTCCCTGAGCCCCTTAGGCCAGATCCTGGCGCTATTCCTAAACATTCTGGAGCATCCTACTTGAACGGTGCTCCGGAAGTGCTTATCTCCCTGGAGCACTTACACGTGAACTGCGACCACCAGGGAAGAGCCCTCCCTACCCCTTTTGTCATTTTCAGTGATTCCCTTTCCCATGGCATTGAACCCCCAGGAGGCAAAGTTTTACCTCTGCATTCCTGACATCTCTAACAGTTAGTTCATGTAGTATAACTTCAATTCCTAAAGTAAACTGAACTAAGTTACGTTTTCACTTAGACGAATTTCACACAGCCGCGCCACCCCCACCTCCCAACTGCATGGTACACAGCAGCTGCCAGAGCTTGGTTAGCCTCCTTGGTACTCACCGGGCAACTTTGTAACCACCTCCCCCTTATACAGGGGGACGTGCCTGCACAGATGTTCAATAGGCGACCCAAACAGGAACCAATCCGCCTTCATGAGCAGAGACTTCAAAGGGTTGTACTTGACCCAGGTGTACTCTGTGGAGTCCATGACTCTCATTGTCTAGGTGACGTAACAGAGAACAGGGTTGATGGAACCGGAAGCCCGCTGGACCTGCCTTTAGCTGTGAATGGCTTTCTCTGGTCCGTGGTTAGATAAAGGGCATTCAGAGATTTCAAGTCACGGTTTCCTGTGACTACTCTGCCTGGATAAGACGCTCTTTTTACCCACAGTATTTCACTGCAATAAACCCACAGAAGGCAAACCCCCTGAAAGGTGAGAGGCAGGTGAGATAGTGTAGTCAGAGCCCAAACGAGGTATCCAGCCTCGCTGCACTGTGTGGAGAGTCTCACACTGTGGTATTGTTTGTCTGTATCTTTGTATCCTTCAATATCATTTTCAAGCAAATGACATATCTTAGATCTCACCTCCAAGAAGAAAGGTTCACCAGCCCCCTCTGCAAAGCCAGTTCTTATCAGTCTATGTTTTCAGGGCTCTGTGATGGAAACCGAGCCCCCTCGTGTGAGAACATATTAGTAAGCTGAGCATCGTATACATGGAAATAGAGGTTAGAGTCTACCGTCCCTTTCACCTCTCTCTGTGGGCAGCAGCCTGAGCTGGCTCAGAAGCAGACTTTTCGAGGACTCCCAACCTACCTGCGTCTCATAGATGTACCGCTGGAGTTTGTCCAGAGCCGGGATGGCTTTGTGGTCCATCTTGAGGATGTAGCAGGCTCTTCGGGAGAGCACTCGGGATGCTATGTAACCCTGAAGGAGCAACAGCACAGTTACTAAAGGTTCTGGGATCCTGATCGGGTGAGACTGACATTGAGTCTTGGAAGAAAGGATTGAGTTCGCCGTGAGTTAATGTCATTTTGAAATTCTGTCCACTCATCTTTGATAGGGAGTTTTGCTTCCCTACTCGCCTCTGTATGCCTGCGAAGCTGGCATGTGCTCTGTGTTCTGGAAGCTGGGTCTACAGCTAAGGGTTTAAAGACTGAGGAGGAATGGCTGCCTGCCTCTTCCTTTGTGTTTTAGCTAGTCTGTTCTTCCATTCTGACTATGACAATATCCTTCAGAACCGTATCATTCAATACCATAATGGCTCCACATGTGGCGACTTAAATTCAAATCCAGTGAAGTTTCCACTTATTTCAGAATGGATTTTGAGTACACGGTAGCCACAATGACTAGAGGCTTCCCTTCTGGAAAATTCAAACATAGAACATCTCGACTTGGCTTGGTGTTCTAGAAGTCTCCTAGGCATGCTGATGCCTACCTTCACCCCACACAACTTTACCTGTTCTCCCTCCTTTTCCCTCTTCTCCATCCTTTCTCTGCCTCAGACTCTATCCACCACACGGAGAGGGTGGCCTGAGGAGGCTGAGGAGCACAGGGATGTTGAGGATTTGACATGAGAAAAAAATCAAAGGTCATCACATTTTGACCTTGAATGGAAAATTTCTGTGATGTTTCAAATACTTAAAAATTATTCTGCTTCTGATTTTTCAACTCTCAAAAGTTCTTAGTACCTAAAGTTAGACAATAGATTGAGGCACCGAGGCTGATGAAGAAGGAAGGGGCTTAAACAAAGTCTCTACAATCAGTTTTTAAAAGTCACTTTTGGGATTTCCATGATTCTGTTTAAAGATAGCTTTAGCTGCACTTCCTGTTGAAGACTTCAAAACTCTCCACTCAGAAAGTGATATAAAACTCCCAGCAGTGCCAGGAGGAATGTATCTGGGGAGCTTTAGAAGAAAAGGAAAAAAAAAAAAAAACAACTTCAGATACACATTGTTGGTGTCCATGCTGGGTATCTCTGGGTAAGGCAGCCCATAATAAGTATTGGAAGAAAAAAATAGTAAAGTAATCCAAATCAGTAAATGGATGAAGTTTCTAAGACTTGTTACCCTGGTAACCAACACAGGGAAGGCCTCATAGCAAGTGTCATGTTGCAAGGTCTACAGAGATAATTTAAGTGTGTGCATTGATCTGGGTTTCTGCTCATTTTCTGTATGTTTTGTATCAGAAGTTCTCATTTGTTCACCCAACAGGCATTTTCCTGTTTATGTTTTAAGCATTGCTTTGGCCATTCTTCCGTGTCTGCGCCAGGAGAGGGACAATGCCATCACGGTTGAGGAAATGTAGGTTTTTTTTTTCTTACAGATGTTTTATTTTCTTGCTTGATCATTTAAAGGGAAAGAAAGGTGTGAGGAAAAATTTAAGGACATGTAAAGACAGACCGTATAATTAAATGTGTCCCTCTACAAAGCCAATCCCACAGCTTGCTGCTTACATGCTTATAGTCAAAGATGGTGGTCGAAGAGCAGGACCCTGCTTGGATGTTGACGGTGGCAGTGTTCTTCTCGTTGTCGATGCTCACTGTCTCCTGGACATTGCTGCCATTGGTGCCTGGGGCGATGATGTTAAAAACCTAGAATTGACAACCAAGACAAAATCAGATTTACGTAAATAGTGTGCATTGGAAAGCAGCCCTTTCGCTGGGATAAAAACTTCCCTGTGTGTCCACCAGGATAAACCTGCACTGGGCAGTCCACCAGGATAAACCTGCACTGGGCAGTCCACTGGGATAAACCTGCACTGGGCAGTCCACCAGGATAAACCTGCACTGGGCAGTCCACCGGGATAAACCTGCACTGGGCAGTCCACCGGGATAAACCTGCACTGGGCAGTCCACCGGGATAAACCTGCACTAGGCAGTCCACCGGGACAAACCCTTCACTGGACAGTCCTCCAGGATAAACCCTGCACTGGACAGTTCACTGGGATAAACCTGCACTAGGCAGTCCACCGGGCAAACCCTTCACTGGACAGTCTGCCAGGATAAACCCTGCACTGGACAGTTCACTAGAAGCCCATGCCATGTTCGGGCTGAGACTGAATGCGAAGCTTTGCCCACTGGTTTGTTATATTATGTACGAGAGGTCAAAGTGAACTTTAAAGTGATGTCATCGCAAGGGAAACAGGACTCAGAGCATTTTAGTATGTTGGGTTACATTGTGGAGGCATTGGAAACAGAAAGAAATGACCCCCCATCTTTCCCATTCCTGGGATTCCGTCTCAGTGAAGACATGTGGACTACCGGCCCTTGCACGGCCTGGCCTCTCATCTTCTTCCACAGCCCTAAGAAGCCAACTCACCTCTTCTGCCTGAGACTGAATTGCACAGACGGACAGCACCACCAGCAATGCCACCTGAAAAACACATCAATTCTCTGTGGGGTTGTCACTCAACGAGGGGGCTCAGTAGGAGACAGTGGGTACCTAGGAACAACAGTCATTCCTTCGAGGTGGCCAGCAGTCTGCTTTTCGACTTTAAAAAGTAGAAAACATACATTTATCCACTCGGCAGGCCCTTGTTGAGTTCGTGTTATTTGTTAGACACATGGTGGGCAGGTGGGCAGCGAAGGACTCTCTTACGAAGGGAAAAGCTGGTGCTAGTCACACCCACTTTGGGATTAGTGAATAAATTATGTCCTCTAAGGGGAAAATGTCAATTTCTTGAGACTGAGGTAATGAACCATTTAAAATGAACCCATGAGTGACATGGTCACAATGGAATTTTAAGGACAGCTGTGGAAGAAGGATTCTGGTTAACCTTTGCAACCCCCTCCTCAGATCTCTCTCCTGGTACCTGGGGAGGAGACTCTAGCAATAACTTACATGCAGACACCCTGCAGTCTGCTTTCATGGGGCTCCTCCCCACCCCGGGCTGGATACCTCAGACAGCTCTGGAGCCTCAGACACTCCTGCATGTTCTATTCAGTGGGTCTGGACTAGAAGTTGGGATAAGTGAATCCACTGACCATCTCGGTGGAGGCCTAGCGAGAGCACAGGACGTGTCCTTGGCCTCCAGATCCCTCCTACCCACCAAGGTTGGCACAACTTGACTCTAAGGGTGCACTTCAGGCTTAGATCTCCTTCTGGGAGGGGACACCGTCTGTCTGACAGTCTTTGTTCCTTTAGGGCTGATACAGTGTGCAACTTTCTCTGTTAGCAGCTGAGTGAAAACAAGAGGCAAAAGCTGGGGGAGGGCTTCTATCCTGAATCCCAGAACACAGGCGGAGCCATGGAGTCCCGTATCAGACGGGGTGGGGGAAGTCACTGAAGGGCTCATTTTACCTTAATAAAGAGTTTAGACACCAGATCACTCTGGTTTCTTTAAGTTCACCTAGTTACTACCATGCACAGGGCCCAAGACAGAGAAACCCCATCCTGAACTCCATGTTTACAGATCTGGAGAATTCAGTCCCCTCTGTCTCAGTCTCCTCAACTTCACAATGAGGGCAGCAATGCGTGCTGTGCACTGTGGGCACAACAAGCAGAGGTGATTGTCCACGAGAAAAACTGGGGCTCAGCACAGTTTGGGGGTGGCCGCTCTCACTCTTACTGCAGACATTGTTTTTAAAGCACTTCTCTTTCGGATGACAAATGTAACTACTCTCAGATGCCTGCACCCCTCACAAAGCCATGAGAAGAGATTGCTATTAAACAGCCTCCAAATAAAATCTCCACATATTTCCATTTTTTCTTTGTTCATTTTGAGTAAACCCAAGAAATATAGGCAGTGGACATACAAATATTCAACATTATTCCTGGTCCGCTAACATCATAAATTCAACCCCAGAGGCATAGTAGGACACAGTGTTTGTCTAAGACCCTTGAAGTCCACAACACATTGGCTACAAGCAGCAGCAGCAGCAGCAGAAGCTCAGAGAACGTGACTGCATACTCACGGGGATTTTCATTTTGCCCGAAGAGAAGGAGCTGGAGTGAGTGCAGATGCCTGTGCAGTGTCCAGTCTTTATATTGGCTTGAAGAGGTGAAAACCTTTCTCCTGAGTGGTCATGTCAGAAAATATCGAGCCCATTATCTGGGTCACACCTTGGCAAACTCCCTAATCAGGACGGAGACCTAACCACATCCCAGGTATCAGTGACGTTTGTTAATCAGTACTGAAAACTCCCCATTGGTCACTCTGCAAACACGCCAAGCTTATCTGTCCCAGTTGGGCTCCCACCCTGTAACAATACTGCAGACACTTGCTCTTCCCACATAGACTTGGAAGGGGCATACTGGCTCCTTCTCCCGAATGTAAAGCCCTTAAGACTTCGGGGCTCCACTCAGGGTCCCTTCACCACTGCCCTGCTTGTTGAATTTGTCTGCCTCAGCATCAGACATGCAAACAGAGGTGAGGATAGTGTTTGGGAGCTTGTCTTGGAATAGGAACAGCCTGGTGGCTGTCTTTCCTTCCTTTCCAGTTGGCGGCAGTCTGCAGAGATTCATGAGGAACAAAATTTGGGAGTCTACTGGCACTGACCCAATGTTTTAGGTGGACCCTGTCCAGGGCACCATGAACAATGGGGACACATCTCTTCTTACCTTAAGAAACTCTCAGATTTTGCAAAGATTGGGAGAGGAAAGCAGAGCTTAGTTTGAGTGAATTTTACAGTTAGAAATTGCTAGTTAGATTGTGAGGAGAAGGTCACGAACTTATCAGGCAATGGGGATTTTGTTTTTAACCCGACTGTAAATTGTGAAATACTGAGCAGGAAGCTAAAATGAACAACCAATGTTTTAAAGAAGAGAGTTTTTAGAAGTGGACATTGAGGGGTCCCTGGCTCTCCAGAGCTCCGCTGCCTTGGCTGCTCAGCAGGAATGAGGCAATGGGTGTGTCTTTTTTCTGAGGTCACTGTGACAGGACATCTGCCAAGGCTTTCCCATCCCTGACTCCAGTGACATAAAGATGCAGGAAGGCCAGGGTTCTCAACAGGATCACTTTCAAACATGTGGGTACCTGCTGCTTCATCTACCCATTTCCAGGAGCTCCAAGTCCATAGGCCTAATGATGACTCTGTGATCATTCATGGAACATGTGCTGGTGCTTTCTAAACACTTGGAGCATACTAATTCAGCGGTCCTTACCGTCCTGTTCCCATTTCCCAGCAGAAGCACCAAGATGCAGGGAAGTTAAAGTAACTAACTGCTTGGGACCACACAACTTCCAAAGGCGGAAGCTGAAGCTTGAGTGTGGTCTGGTGCCAGAGTCCATCATCTTAGACACAATCCTCCCAGACTGTGGGAGGCAGCACAAGTTCTCAGCTTGCTGAAGTGGGCCTCGAGCAGGCTTCTGTGCCTAGATTGCTCCCAGCGCAAAGACAGCCTTGGAAATTGTGAGGCTTGGCCACAGCTCCACTGAAAACTTTAGTAGGGGAATGTGAAGCTAGCTGCTTGGACAAACATCGCTAAGGACGAACCCCTGCATATGCCTGCCAGTGCCACAGACACGAGGGGCCTGTGACGAGCTCAGCCACGCCTGGGATCCGCTGCAGCCCAGCAGGAGCCTGAGGCACTGCGGGTGTGGGGACTTCCAAAGCATTCACTTACAGGGCTGTTTCAACTCCCACAGGCCTTGTTCTTTATAACTTGTGCTTTTGGTCTTGCTTAAAAAAATGTTACCAATGTCCTTAATGCATTTTCCTACGTGTTCTTAAAGTCCTGTTTTTCACATTCTATTTTACTATTACTTCTGAGTGTAGTGTAGGCTCCAAAACAGTGTTTTTTTTTCCACTTAGACATCCAGTAGTTCCAACATCTGTTAGTAAATAGTGTAGCTCTTTGCCACCAACTTCTAAAGCCAGGCGGTTTCCATGGAAATAGCATCCTGCTTGCTGCCTCCATATTTCATTGGTTCATTTAGTATCCAACAGTGATGGCTCCCAGGTCCACAGATGAATTCTGAAACCCAGTAGACCAAATCCCCCAAATGCTACTACTTCTAAATGTTCCTGTCATTCTGTGAAGTTCCTTTCTGCTTTCTCTGTCTTGATTCTCACAGAATTACTGTATTCTTTGTCTGACATCTTGAGCTGAACATTGCTCTGTATATTGAGTCTCTCTTGTTATTTTAAATGGAAGCATTGAGAAATAATAGATTTACCACTAAGTACATTTTATTTTCTTCATTTAACTATTTTACCTTTTAAAAAAATTTCTTAATTCCTGTTGTGATTTTTTTTCTCTTTAACCCAGTTATTAAGGTACTTTTTTCAATTTCTAATATTCGGATGTGGAGCAATGGTATGAAGAAAACACACCCGCTCTTAACTTCTTCAAGCTGGCTGTAAGCACCCATGCTCGTGGCTCTTGGGGAAGAGCAGCCACATGGCCCTGTCTAGATGGGAAGGGAGTGGGTTGCCCATCACCCCAGCGTCAGCATCACTGTGGGTCTAGGATCTGGAAACATTGCCTTGCCTACATTTTTCTCTTTGTTTAGATTTTTAAAAACTCCATCAAGTATATAATCAAGTCAAGAACTCGGAGCTTGTTGTTTAATTCGCTCTGTAATCTTCCTCCAAAAAAACCTGGAAAGTGAGATGAGCGAAGTTGCTACAGCTCTTGATTGTACCTCAAAAGCCAGGTGTTAGGGTCCCCAGCATGTCGTGCTATGAAGGCCAAGGCAGGAAGTGGAACAGTTATGAGGTGGACCTAGTGTAGGAAGTTAAATCAGTAGGGTGTGTCCTTGAAGACAGGCTGTTGAGACCCTGGTTTTCTCTCTCCCTCCCTCTGTGTGTGTGTACATAGGGGGCCCGCACACACACACACTCTCTCTCTCTGTTGTTTCTCTGTGTGTGCATGTGTGTGCTCTTTCTGTGTGTTGTCTCTCTGTGTGTGCATGTGTGTGCTCTCTCTCTCTGTTTGCTCTCTCTCTCTGCTGTCTCTGTGTGTGCACATGTGTTCTCTGTCTGTTGTCTCTGTGTGTGTGTGTACTCTTTCTGCTGTCTCTGTGTGTGCTCTATCTCTCTGTTGTCTCTGTGTGTGCGTGTGTGTGCTCTCTGTTGTCTCTCTCTCTCTGTGTGTGCTCTGTCTCTCTGTTGTCTCTCTGTGTGTGTGCATGTGTGTGCTCTCTCTCCATCCATCCATCCATCCATCCATCCATCTCTCCATTTTCCAGCTTTCAAAAAATGAAGAGAGCTCCTCTGCCATGTGGTCTCATCACGATGCACCAGGTCACAACGATCCCAAAGCAAAGAGCCATCACCTGAAAGCCATGAAACAGCACTAAAATGAACCTTTCTCCTTCAAAGCTATCATCTCAGGCATTTTGTCGCAGTGACAGAGAACTGGACAGCAAGGAAGGAAATCATGTAAGTGAAGGAAAGGAAAGGAGCCTGTGGGAGCAGAAAGAAGCTTATGTACCTAGCTGAGCGGCCACAAAATCCACTGGTCCCGCCACTCCCATGCTCCCTCCCAGCACGCCACACACTCCTAACCCCCTCCCATTGTTCTCCTCCTCCCGTGCTCCGCTTACCATTGCCCTCCTCTCCTCTCCACTTCTTTCTCCTTTTCCCCACACTGTGTCAGTGGTGACCACTGGAGAAGTGGTCTCATGCCCCAAACCAAGGATCTCTGAGAATTTTCTGTCACCAGAAAATGTAAGTCACTGTTAAAAACAGTAAATGTGAATGTATGGGATTAGGATTGCACACGAATTCAAAACCTAAACTGTACTGGCCTCATTTATCAACTATAAACAAGAAAAATTATGATTATAGTGTTCATTGTTTTCTATGAAAATGATAACTTGTTTCCTATGATGACCCTAAAGTCTCTCTCATGACCCTCAGCTGGAGAGAACGAGCTGAGAACTCCTCACATCGCCTTCAGACATCGACAGGATGATCAGCAAAATGCACCAGGAGCAGTAAGCTCAGATTGCAGCCTCCCTAAAATCATTGCTAGTACTATAGACAAAGTAACTGTAGAAATCTTTCTATAATTCAGTACTCAGGCAGAACTATAAATGTAAAATAAAAGTAAGATGTCTGGAAAAATTTGCAAGTATATTAACTTTAGAAATCGATTTTAAATAAGCCACAGGTTAAAGAGGAACCCATATAGAAATTAAAGACATTTTTAATTAAATGGACATAAAAATGTGATGTCAATGCTTATGTTAGGATACCTGCCTTAAGAAATTTAAAAACTGGGGCCAGAAAGATGGTTCAGTGGTTAAGAGCACTGTCTGCTTTTCCAGAGGACCCAAGTTTGATTCCTAGCACTCACATGATGGCTCACAGCTGCCTAAAACTCCAGTTCCAGGGGATCCAGCGCCTGCTCCTGAGTGAGTGTGTGGATGCAAGGCCAGGCTCAGGCACAGGTGGAAGCTGCTTTCTCTGGGAGCTTTTGCCGGTTTCCTATGAGGCTCACAACTGTGAGTCCTGGTGTCTTCTCCCAACTTTCACACTCTTGGAAAACAGTGCTAAACAGGATTCCTGTTCTCTGATACCTAGCTCTCTTTACTTCTGGGGATAGGGATAGCATTTTTCTCAGTACACATAAAGTTGGGTACAACCATGTAACTTGTTGGGTTGACAAATACCAGGAATGTAAAGTAAAAAAAAAAAAAGAGAGAGAGATTTTAAAGTTAATATCACAGTTCTTCTAAACTACCCTCGAGCAGAAAGGCAAGAGAGACATAATAAGGACAAGAACGGAGGCCCGTGTGGCTGAGAACTGAAGGAAGAGGGTGAAGCATAGCCAGTGACTTGCCTAAACTGCCAGTGAGGCTGAGACCCTGCAGCTGAACAGTCCAAGAGAATAAAAGGGAGGTATTGACTCTTCCCACCAGGATTAAAAGGAAAATCATTTACAAAAACGAAAAGCTGCACAGACATGAGGTCCATACTTAAGGAAGATGCCTTGGGGAGCTGCTAGCAGGGAGTGGAACCAGCCCACGTGAGAGAAGTGTGCTGCAGCCAGCAAAGCTGAAAGGAGCTGGAGCTCTGAAGAGTGCTGTGACATCAGACATGAAGATGCAGAGTTTGGAGCTTGCCTCGCTAGTTTTTGG